CCACCACATATATATATATATATATATATATATATATATCAAAAAAAACCTCTCATTTTAAGTACTCTTAAGAATAACTCTAATTAGAAGCTCTTTTCTTCGAGGCATTGTGGCACGTGTATATAACTAGGCTGCCATTTTCTTTGAGACAGTGTAGCATATGTAAATAACTAGGTTGCCTTTATTTTTTTTTAGGCGCCGTAGTACATGTATATAAGTAGGTTGAATGCTTCCACTAATTAGACCCACGTACATGTATTAATACCTAATAACAACATTAATAAAAGGATAAGGTTTTGGTGAGTCAGCCGCCTTACCACCATGTGGTCACTTGTCTATCTAGTGTTTGTCTCTAAGATGGATGTTAAAAAATGTTACATCCACTAAACGTTAAACTGGATAGTGAAGGAAGGAATTCAAAAAATAATATTTGTATTTAAAAAAAAAAAATTCCAAATTTACGTCATCATCATAGTTAAGATTATTGAACTCTAAAATTTTCAATCAAAAATACATTTTTGAGATATATTTTGTAGGGAGAGCGCACAAAAATGGCATAAGTCAGCCAACTCGCCTAACACTTTTCCATAATAAAACATTGGGATGCTAGGTTGAATGCTTAATAATAAAATAGTGGGATGCTTGTTGAATGCTTCTACCAATCAGAAAGCACGTGCCTCTCTGTCTCTACACTCACTACTGCATCTCTCTCTATATATATATATATACGCTCAGTACTACATCTCTCTCTGTATATATACTCACCACTACATCTCTGTCTCTCTCTATAGGTAGATACTCTCACTACTATATCTCTGAACTCAACATGAGATTGGATCTCCCTGCTCAGGAGAGATGATGCCGGCCAATCTCTCTGACACATGGCCGGCATCATCTCTTCTAGGCCGGGACCATCCCATCACACACACATGATGCCTCCGTGTGCACTCATCCCACAATGTGCATGATCCTACATGTTGATGCGGCCTCAAGCAAAGTATAATCTTCTCTTTCTTGTTTTGATATAAGTACAGTATAATCTTCTCTTTCTTGTTTTGATTTACTTCGAACAGGGTACTATTCTCAGCTTTCATAGAAATGAATTTAGGGTCTGAAATACATTTTATGTCACTCCATTTGTATTTTGTCTTTAGATCCTTAATTTCACTGCTCAAAAAATAGTGTAGATCTTATGGAACTAAAATGAACGGTCCAAAACCCAAATTAAAATAAACTACTTAGGAGTTTTTTTTTTTTTTTTTCGATTGTGGCTGTCGAGCTTATCTACCTGTAAAATTTTGTCTAAAAGCCATGTCTAAGATTTATTTATTGAGGAGAACCCATTTGAATAGGCACACACCAAAACTCCATGATTTCTTATATTTGCTAGCTAGCAAGGATCGCCCCAACCACCTCAATGTTGAAGCATCAAGTGCCTTGGAGTTGTGTTAAGGGCTCAGATATACAAGCAGTTATTTTCTCATATGATCTTCCCTTTGTCGTGGATCATCTCATATACATTTTTTATTGATAGGGGTGATGAACCAGATCATCATTTTCTGAGAAGATACGAGATGGATTGGTTGCTATAGATTCAACACCTCCAAGACGTCTATTATTTCAGTCATGCTGGCAAAGGAGGAGAGAGATAGAAAGAGCAGCTGAGTGATGCCTTTGCTCTGAAAGGCCTTGTCGGCTCAGTGATGCCTATGCTCTGAAAAGTAACAAAAGAGAATCATTTCATTTGGGACCAAAGCCCTTTTTATTTTTATTTTTTGGGGTGAGCATAGATATGTTTGACACGAGCTAACCTAAATGCTGCTAGCCGCTAGCCTCCTTCAAAAGTGTTAATTCAGTGGGGATTTGAGTCCCTATCATTTGGTAAAAATGGAGTCAAATATCTTATCATAGGGCTTGACAATACTATCGCGAAGACAGGGACCCTTCTCTATTTTCCAAAGGTGGATAGGGTAGAAGGTTCAACGTTTTTATCCAAAAATTGTACACAATGAGATCATTATTTACAACCATCCGAAGTGAAACTTGTTAGCTTCGGTATATGACAAAGTTTAAGAAAAAAATTTTGAAGCTTGAACTTGGTCAATGGAATAAATGCAACTATTTAATTCTTATTCAATTGTCAAGATTAATTGTGATCACTTTATACCAAAATAAATAATTTCATGATGTATTTTTCCTTTTAACCTGTTAATAATGGCCATTCATAAAGTCTCCTTTCAACATTCTTGAAGCTTTTAATAGAGGAAAACGTTTATTGCCCGCATATAAACTTTTAGCCATCCACCGTCTGTCTTAGTGATTGAAAGACTTTATCTTGCAATCACCACCGTCCAACTAAGTTGAATGGTGGGTGGCTCAAGTTACCATGCCGGCATCAATCTCTAATGGAAGGTTCAAAAACTCTATTGTTTCATCAATCCATACCAGGACTAGGCTGTTGTTAGAAAGGAGAAAACGAAAGCAAATACACAACTAATTGCAAGAATTGGGGGAAAAAAAGAAATATAGACGGATTCCCTTATGTTACCTACATTTATATAAAGAAAACGTTTACATAGAGCTTAGGCTCTAAACAATCAAATTAGAACCTATCTCAAAACTTTTACTAGCAGAGGTTGTTTTGATTCTCAAATATCATCAAGATACATGGACATGAAAAAAAAAATGGATTTCAAGTTTTGAAAATAGTGCATCTTATAATGCATTTTTGGACCGTCAATTTTTAAGATTATTAAGTTATCATAGATCTGCTAGATCTACACTATTTTTGAAGCTTTAAATTTTATAAATAAAGATGAAAATATATTTTAAGGCTATCACAAAGACTGGATGCAACATCCAGATCGCGAACAGTTGATTAGGCAGCAGTGGGGGGTGGCAGTCAATGGCTGCCTGATGTACAGAGTGTACAGAGTCACACATAAATGAAGGGCAGTTAAGGCGGCATTTGTTAAGTGGAATAAAGAGGTATTTCGAAGGTCTTAAGTACCTAATAGATAAGCCATGAAATTTGTGCTTGAAGCAAGTAGGCGATGCGAATCCATGGATCTGCTAGATCAACACTATTTTTGAAGCTTTAAATTTTATAATTAAAGATGAAAATATATTTTAAGACTATCACAAAGATTTCCAATATTGAAATCACATTTCTCGATACTATTTGAAGGTGTGTTTTACTTTGATTGTTTAGAGCCTCGGCTCTATATAAACCGCACCCTTTATAAAAAGGGAACACCTGATTTACAATTTACGACATATTTCCATTTATTTGAGAAAAAAGGATCGCCCATTTAAGATCTATATCAAATCTTACAAGGGGAAAGAACCCAAAATCGAGCAAAAACAACCAAAAAAAAAAAATATGAGAAAAAGGGAGCTCAACAGATGTCAAGTTTCGGCTTGAGCATCTCCTCCATTCATTTCGGGGGCAACTTAAAGGGTGTGGTTTGTATATGACCAAGGCTCTAAACAATCAAATTAGAGCCTACCTTTAAATAGTGTCGAGAAATGTAGTTCCAACACTGAAAATCTTTGTGATCGCTTTAAAATATATTTTCATTTTTATTTATAAAGTTTAAAGCATAAAAAATATTGTAGATTGACACATCTATGAAAACTTGAAAATCTTGAAAATTGACGGTCAAAAAATGCATTACAAAATACATTATTTTTAAAACTTGAATCAATTTTTTTCTCATGTCCATACATCTTGATGTCGAGATGATCAATTTGAGGATTTTTGAGCATCAAAACAATCTCGTCTATGAAAGTTTTGAGGGAGGGTCGAATGTGATTGTTTAGAGCCTCGGCTCTATATAAACTTTTCCCATAAATAAAAACTAAAAAAATGCACTATGTAAATCACGTCATAAAATTGAAAAAAGATCGTTCAATTTTAGGACAACTAGATCAAGTATTTAAATATTCAAAATATAATAATCATTTAGATATGGGAAAAGTTTAGATAGAGCCGAGGCTCTAAACAATCAAATTTGAGCCTACTTCAAAAATTTTATTAGAAGATGTTTTGTTACCCAAATATTTTCAAATTGATCATCTGGACATGAAGATGCATGGATATAAGAAAAAAATGGATTGAAAGTTTCGGAAATAGTGTATTTTGTAGCGTATTTTTGGACTGTTATTTTCAAGATTTTCAAATTTTCATAGATATGTCGATCTACACTATTTTTTAAGTTTTGAACTTTATAAATAAATATGAAAATATATTTTAAGACTATTACAAAAATTTCCAATATTAAAATTATATTTTACGATACTATTTGAAGGTAGGCTCTAATTTGATTGTTTAGAGCCTAAGCTCTACACGAACCGCACCCTCAATTAGATCAAGTATTTAAAATTCAACATATAATAATTATTTAGATATTCTTTAGTGGATCCCAAATTTCATATCAAAGTGACGAGTGGACACTATGCCCCAATCAATATACAGTGTGCACCCAGGGGACACAAAGGGTGGTCAAACGATACCATGGGACAGCTGGAAAGCTTTGAAATACTAGCAGATTTACGTACGTTGCACGTATACAAGTAGGACCGATGAAAGAGTCATAGAGTATTTTGAGTCATACAAAGTTGATTATACATTTTTAATAGGTACATGATACATTATCTAAAGTTAATGTAAGGGTTCATCTAAGGGTGGGGTTTGCATAAGGTTGCAACTTTAAAACAATCCAACTAAAATCGTACCACTAAATTTTATCATAAATGTAATTTTGATATAAAAAAATTTTACGATGGCTTGAGAATCTATTTTCAACTCAAATTATAAAATTTTATTCTCTAAAAATGGTTCAAATCAAGTAGATCTATAAATATATGAAAATTTTGAAAATGGACGGTCCAGATAATCTGTTGCAAAATATAGTACTTCTTGTACTCAAAATATTTTTTTCTTTTCATATTCGTACATCTCGATGTCAAGATAATCAATTATAAAGTTTTCCAACATTCAAACAGCCTTTTATAATAAATTTTTGAGGTGCATCTTTAATTCTACATTTTAATGTTGCAATCTTATATAAAAATTTTCTTTTCTCTAAACCATCTATCTATTTATCGAATGTTTATTAAGCTACAGTTAAGTTGTGAAAATGTGTCTCAAGAATAAAGGGGATGCTTTTTCTAGAGTGGAAGTAGGGAAGGAAGATAACCTTAATAAGAAGCAGTTTTGGGCACAATAAATGGATCCCCATTTAACTGCATTATCAATCTACAAATTCTTTCTGGTCTGTATTATCCTTCTATATCTCATTACATCAATGTGCGTGAATTATCTGACAATAATGGGTACTTGTGGATTAATGTTGTCGTGTGTGGGTGTAGGTATGTGTGTGTAGAGGGGGGTGCGGTGTGGGTGTGTGTATGTCGGTGTATGAAATTCAATTTAAAAAAAAAATCCATAAAAAAAGGGAACAACCCATCAATATGTTTTTAACAAACCGTAGATAATTATCTATTGGGTGTGTTTTGCATAAGGTTGCAACCTTAAACAATCCAAATAAGGTGCACCTCTAAATTTTATCATAGATGTGATTTTGATATAAATAATTCTTAGGATGGTTCGAGAATCTATTTTTATCTCTGATTATAAAATTTTAAACTCTAAAAATAGTTTAAATCAAGTAGATCTATAAAAATTTTGAAAATGGACGGTCGACATAATGTGTTGCAAGATATACTATTTCACGGACTCGAAATCTTTTTTTCTTTTTATATTCATACATCTCAATGAGGAGATGATCAATTAGAGGGTTTTTCAACATCCAAACACCCTTTTATGATGGATTTTTGAGGTGCACCTTTAGTTCTGCATTTTAAGATAGCAATTTTATATAAAAATTTTCCTTATCTATTACATAAATAACTTAAATATTTAGAAAATATATTTAAAGTGTCCTAAATAAAAAAAATCAAAATTATCATCTATTAGACTTTTAAGAATCTGCCTAAAATTTTCAGGAAAAGGTTTCTATGCTTCCCTTACCATCTAGCCGTTCAATTTTGATCAAGAGAGTCACTCACTGTTTGCTCTTAGATCCGATGTCTCAAATATTTTATTTTTAATTTTTTTATACAAATTGTATGAATATAAAATTTGGTACATGTCATCTTCTCATTGGGGTGCACTTATAAAAAATATTAAAAATAAATTTTCGATAAAATATAACGACCAAAATACCCCATACAATTTTCAGGGGTATTTTGATTATTTTATTTTATTGAAAATATTTTTTTTATATTTTTCGTTAGTGCGAGTTTAATAGAGGATTGGACGTACGAAATTTGGTGTCAAAATAATTTATAGAAAAAAATTAAAATTAAAATAGTATAGAGATATGACATTATGATTGGGGCAATCTTAGCCCTCCATTCCGAATGGAGGGTTGGATAAGGAGAAGTATATAAGTTTTATGTTGTAAGGAAGCATAGAAAGCTTGCCCGTGACTTTCAACTTTCTTCTCTCTTCCCTAGAGCTGGGTACACATCTCTCTCTCCATACCCCTCTTCCTCTCTCTCTACATAATCCTATCCCACTCACGCACCCCTCTCTAAATAAAATAGTAAAAGGAAAAACACTCTTGTGGCACTAAAGGATCAAAATAGAACTACTATCAATGGGTAAAATCCTAGAACAGGACTAGGTTTTTGGTGAGTCCACCTACTCATTTATTCATCCAAACTCTATCCAAGAGATAAATCTCAGATCTAAAAATTTATGAATTGAGAATCTCAACATTGATGAATATGCATATACAAAAGGAAAATAAAATTTAATAATGAAAAATAGCTTTTAGTGATGTCTTATTAACACAGTTCATTTTGAGTTTACGTGGGGCGACCAATTTTCCTTATCATGTTTAAGAAGGATGTGGGATGCCTAAGGGATGAACATGTAGAAATGTCCCTTGACGCATGAAACAAATTGCCCTTAGAAAATAGATGTGAGGCTAGATCCCCCACTCGGGGGTCCAATCCGTATCAGTCGGATTGGTTGGATCGGCAATTTGAGATTACCCATATAAGTTCTATTTTTATGAATCGGGCTTGGGCTCAAGTGGTTAGTAGTTGACATCAAACAATGCTACATCTCAAGTTCGATTCCTACCACTAAAATACCCAAAAAAAAAAAAAAAACTAGTAGTGTAGAATATGCAGTACATGATATACAAATCATATCACATAACAACTAGTTAAGTTGGCTACACCCGTGTTACTTCCTTTTTCTTTTTTTCTTTTTTTTCTTTTTTTTTTTGTTTTGGCTTTTTGTAATGGAACTTGAGATATAGAGATATTAAAGTAAACTGCTAACCACTAAACCCAATTCCTAAAAAAAAAAAAGTTAATGTCGACTTTGTTTGGTTTGTTTTTGGACAGACTTCAAAGATTTGAACCCCTACACCCTGATATGGCTGGACCCCACGGATGCAACCACAAGGTCACGGGTTTGAAACCTCCCCTTTCTTTAAGGTTCAAAAGTCAAAACTAATATAAATTTTTAAATCAATCACGCCAAGGGTCCACATGCTTTAGCCAAATGAAATGCCCAATCTTTGTGATATCACGTTGTGAGGTGTCGGGCTTTTATGTGGGGAGACTCGTATACGCCTACGCCCTTTATAAAATTTATCTAACACATGGATTTTGGATTCAAGATTTTAGGGGTCCATAATCTGGGCTATAGATGAATACTAAAAATAACAGATTAAATTTAAAAATAATTTTTTGAAATATTTTGACCCCTTTTATTTTACAGTTCGGCATGCTTTTAGGCAATTCCCAATTTAGGTAGGCGATTTTTCAATCATTGCACTGCGACGAAGCAAAATAATGACATTTTATTGTGTAATATGTGTGTTCGGTATAACTTTCCTATCCAATCAAGTTTACAAGACTGTTTTGCCTAAATTTTCCTCTCTGGCCTTGGTCATTGGCCGGAATCATACATCCTCATCCCAATAGATTAAACATATATGAAGATTAAACATAGATTAATTGAAATTTCTCTATTTTTTGTACATTAACAATATAATAGCATTCAAACCTCAGAATTTATGCTGCTGCCACCAAAAAAGACCAGATATGTATGCCTGACAATGAATGGATAGTATGCATAAAGTTCAGCATAGATTATTTGCACATAGAAATTAGAGCAAGAAAGGTAAGGGCTACATACAGAATTAACATTCAAGCGAAGCCAGTTACAAGTTCACCATGCAGTCAGAAAATAAGAAAGGACCAAACATTTAAGCCTGCTATAAAAAATTACAGTAAACCTAAGGCTGTATCGCATTACAATGAATAAAAGTTCGAACTTATGAATCTCAAAATCCCATTATTTTACATGCAAGTAGAAACCCCACAAGGAAGGAAATTGCCCACAAGGAAGGAAATTGCTGAGAATCACTACCAGCAAACCACTGATTCTCAGCAAACCAACTAATCCTCATCAAGATGTCCATGGTCCTCCCCAAAGTATTTATCAACCAACTCATTTGCCATGCTTCTCAAATGTTCATTTTCATGGAACTGAAACCTCTCCATGGCGTCAATCCCATCCTCCCTCTCCACAAGCTTTGGGCCCCGACCATTTGGCAAACCACGCATGACCTGTGTTAACAAGGAAGTTAGTAGATGCTATTTACATTAAGGCCAAGATTTTTATAAATCAGCCGACTCATATATACACATGCATTCCCCCTCTAAATTCCATCTTAAAGAAGGATTTTTCATTCAAATTTTTAGAGATGGTCGAGGCTAAGGTGATCATCAATATGAAAAAAGAAAAAGAACAAAATTTTTATAGTTTAGAATGTAAATTTTAGTTTGGTGCACTTTTCATAACATCAAGGGTTAGAGGGCTCATGCATTCACTGAATCAGAAAGCTTTTCCTTACATAGATCCTACAAGGCTAGAGTTAAATGACAAAAAATATGTTGCTTGTGAAATGCATGAAAATAAGGGATGACCATTGCATGACGTGAAGTAATTTAGTTATCATTGTAACTAATTTGTATGAAGTAGGTCCATATTCCCAAATCCTGAGTATCCAAAATCCTGGATATAAAGTTAGAAAAGAAAAGGGCCTTTGTGCTGGTTTTACATGTTGCAAGGTTCCATCCAGAAAACAGAACAAGATGCAAGACCACAGGCAATACTCGCAAAGCAAAGTCCACATATTTGATGCGATTTCAAAATCACTTGTAAGCTGTGTTCACGAAAATGGAATGCTACTAATTCGCCATGGGCTGATTCGGGCGATTCCAAGTCGACTTTGCAATTTGTAAAACTCAGCTTGTAACCATCACAATGTTAGTGTATAAGAAACCAATACACATGAAAGGGGTGCAAAGGTGTACAAGACTATGCATAAAATTTTAAAAATTCAACAACTCACTTGATTCACAACTCTTGAAATGAAAGTTACAGCAGGGTAGCTGCTTTTACATGAACATAAAGGCTTCAAAATACACTTAGAAAATGAGGATACAACTCTATCTAGGTCCCTTACACTTTAACAAGTCTATCTTCAAAGATAGAACTCAAGACTAGACATATACTATGCTCACTTGAAAATTCAGCAACATTGAACTTTAAAAAGCCAAATTATACATCAATAATAACATGAAAATTCATCAAATCAAAAACTCAATTACATGAATATGTGATTGCTCAAGTGTAGTGTGCATCATAGCCAATATGCCAATGGGAGAGATGCGATGGCTAGTCTCAAATTCGGTGCCAATTCATCATCTATGAATAGAAGCCAAGCATGTTGACATATACTCATCAAGCATGGAAGGTTTTCACATGAATTTACAGATCATACAAATGGAAAAAACGTGGGACCAATCCGGATGCTAAGAATGCAAAATCGAATCTAGTTTTCTCACATAAGTCTTTTAGAAAATTGACAGTTTCCCCTTGTGAAAACGAACTTTTAATGACACAATAAGGTGATCTAGCTCATTGATTTGAGTTAGACATAACTCAGAGAAATCAGTGAATGAAGCTTTGAAAAATCGATGCATAAAACCAAAGAGAACTATCTCAATTTGTTCATAATTGAACATAGATCAGCAAGTGAACAAATGGATGATCAAAGGACAAAATGATGATCAATGATCATCATATAATGCTGCTGGAATTGCAGCACTATAGCATAGAAATGATATATTAAAAGGAGGTATGATAGACGCTTACTCAAATAAGGAAGGTCCCTTGCTAGTTGATCATTGGATTGAACTATGGAACTTTGATAACCATTAATGGAAATCAATTCACCCTTGAAGATGGCTGCTCTCTTTCATGGTTGAAGATGAGTTTCTAGAGAGAGAAACAAAGGATTGGGTGTGCCAAATTATGGAGGGAGAGAGAGCTACGGCATGCCACTTTTGGGAGACAATTGTAGTGAGAGTAACTAGTTACTTGAAATAAGTTTAAAGGCAGTATTTATACGCATTTCAAGGCACATGGGATGAGATGCTTCTAGATGATGAATCATGGCCCTCCATGTCTTCTACTGAAGGCTACAAAGAGAAACTTGATCCTAGTCCACCATCCACCATCTTGATGTGAGGCATGGATTCAATACCCTTATCCTCCCTTTAATTCCCTCCAATTTCTCTTGGTATAAAAAGCCCTTTAATTCCCTCCAATTTCTCTTGGTATAATAAAGCAATAAAACCATCATCATGGGTATGCCATTATGGTCTTTTGACCAAAATTCCAGCAAAATGAATAATTCTAAAGTTCCCTCCAAATCTCTTAAGCATGTGGGATCAATACGATCATGCCACATAAAGCAAGTGGTTAAGTGCACAATGAGTAAAATCCCTTAGGGTTAGGATTAATATTTCAAACCCCATACCCCTTCTAGAATGTCCCACACATATGCACTAACCCACGTTTTTTTGGGTGAGTTAATGGGGAGTGGGCCCCTACCCTTTGTAGGAATTGAGCCTAGGACATAGCATTGCAAATCGTCAAGCGCTACCCAATAAGTCAGTAGGGATTTGGGCCCTCCCCTTCGGTGAGAATGGAGTCAAAGACCTCACCATGGGGCTTGGCAATACTACCGCCAAGGCCCCAGGCCATTCTCAAAACTTGCACCAGCCGGGTTAACCCACTTCCTTTAGGCATTCAACAGGTGCCTAAAAGCAATTTTTCAAATAATCCAATTTAATGGAGAAAAAAAAATGCATGGATAAAGACGGAATAACTAACAATAAATAATTGAAGACATCAAAAGCCCCATATATAAAGGCAAAGCAACCTTGCATGCGTTGCTGCCCATTTTCTTAAAGATCTTAAACGGTCCTGCATGGCGAGCATTCAACTTATTGCACTTGCCCGCATGATGCCTCTCCTTCCTAAGATAAACCATAACCAAATCATCCACATTGAACTCCTTGACGTGACGATATTTGTATGTTGCTTCTTTATACTTGGCTGTATTGGCTTCCAAATTTGCTTGTACATGCTCATGGACTTCTTTCATCTGCTCAACCAACTCATGAATAATATTATGACCCTTCCCATTTCTAGATAGGAAATAAAATCTAGTGAATGGGAAGGGTTCTTTCCATTTACCACTTTAAACAGACTCTTACCAATCGACCTACTACGAGCATTCTTACAAGAAAATTTGGCTTGAGGTAGCGCTACATCCCGCTGCTCCTTCTTTTCCCCCACACTACTTTTGAGAAGATTCCAAAGAAGATGATTTACCACTTCAGCTCTGCCCATATGTCTGTGGGAGATAGGCATTACCGAATTGTAATCGAGTATCCAATTTCTTGCACAAAATTCCCAAAACTGGCTAAGAAACTCGGTACCCCGATCTGAAGTGATTGCTTTTGGAATATCATGCAATCTCACTACTTCTCTGAAGTACAAATCAGCAACATATGTAACAACCAATCTCGTTTTACAAGCTATAAAATGAGCCATCTTTGCAAATCTATCCACTACCACAAATATAGAATCCATAACTCTAAGACTGCGGAAGACCCAACAAAAAATTCATACTAACATCCTCCCAAGGTGCATTAGGCATAGGGAGTGGACAATAACGCCCAATGTTATGTCGTTGCCTAGTAGCTAGCTGACAAGTATGACACCTATATACAAACCAAGTAACATCCCTTTCCAATTGTGGCCAGAAATATTTAGACTTGTTTTGTCTTGTCCAAAATGTCATTTGAAAAAGTCCACCATGACTTCCTCCATGAAGCTCTGCTATAAGAGTCTCTCTAAGGGAACCTGAGAGCATACATAGATGATTTCCTTCGAAGAGAAATCTGTCTTGAATAAGAAAATCCCCACGTCATGGCACAAAACCCATATCTCCTTGAAATTGACATCATCTACACAACGTTTGTCCATAAATATAAACCCTATAATGGTGGTTGTCATGGTAGCCAACAAAGTTGTTCTCCTACTTAGAGCATCTGTCACTCTATTTTGATTGCCTGCCTTATATCGAATGACAAAAGTAAACTCCTGAAATAGGCTACCAACCGAGCATGTCACTAATTTAGCTTATTTTCCAATTAATGTTATTTCAGTGCTTCATGATCTAAGAACAAAATAAACTGACTCTAGATCAGATAATGATGCCTATGCCTCAAAGCTTGAATAATAGCATAAAAATCCACCACATAAGTGGCGTATCACCGCATCATTTATCTTCTCACTGAAAAGGCCATTGGATACCTTCTTGACTCAACATCACACGAATTCCGACGTGCGAAGCATCACAATCCAGTTCAAAAACTTTGTCAAAGTTAGGACGAGCAAACACAGGTGCCTCGATCACCTTCTGGTTCATCAATTGAAAGCTTCTCTCAGCCTCATCCATCCATATAAATGCCCCTAACAGATGCTAAATCGGACTAAAGCCCTTGATAAACCTTCTCTAAAAAGTAGCCAAACCATAGTTGTTGGAGGCAAGAGCGGGACCGGGTGTGGTTCGGGATTCGCCGAACTGCCCTATAGCGGCAGCTCCCTGGGGTTAGGATCGGTGTCCCAACAATGAACAAGACATGGCACGAGATCCTTAGGTTTATGGGAGCGAGATCCAATGTCAATGGGTTCGATGTTTTGACTAGTAGGAATCTAAGCTCCACGATACAAAAAAAAGAGGTTGTAAGTAGAGCTAGTACGAGTTCCCTTGGTTAAGGAATCAAGGTTTAAGTATGTCATATAACAGGATTCCTCATGTTCTAATATCGAGATTCTTAAAGTATAGGAATCAAGGTCTTCAGCTGATTAGCCCCGAGGTCCGCAAGTGCCATTTACTAGAAATCCCTTATCAAGTGCCCCAGCCCTTAGCAATTGATTTATTTATTTTTGCGTGAATAACAACGGATTAATTATGTAGCTCTATAAGTCGGTCTTTCTTATGACCACTACATCTTCAGGCCATGACACAAGTTTGGCATGCATCAGTCCCTCTATGTCCCTGGCAACCTAGATACCTACCACTCAAGCGTCATCTTCTTCGAATGTAGTCTCTTCTACTTCTATTGTTTCTCAAAGGCTCGCTCTTCAAAGAGGCAAGAGGAGAAGATGAACTTCTCTCTCTCTCTCTCTC